ACTGCGATGATCATTCTTCACTTTCATCTACAACCGCAGTTCATATATGAATTATTTCATATAAACTTCATATCAGTATAGTACTATATCGGGGATTTTATGACACGACCGGCTGCAACGCGGGCTACGAATATTCAGCTGGGTGAACATTCAGGCTAAAATTTGATCGTTTTGCTCGGGTTATTCCCACGCAACCTTTCATGCAAACGTCAACAAACATGAGAGGCAATATATCTGAGTCAACAGACGACGTCACCGACAGCAACAACAACAACAAAACCTGTTATTTAAAATTAAAATAGAAATAAATATCTTCATTGACCACTCCCCCAATGGGGCTTTACAGGGCCAATGGAAAAAAAAATGATGTAAATGAACATAACGTGGTTAAAAATCCAAACTGACAGGAGGCAGAACAGTTGGCTATTTACAAACGTGGCCGAGGAGTTGAACTGAGGTCTACCGAGAAACAACACCAGCTTAGTAGTCAGGGCGGGACTTGAACCCGCGACCTCCAGACTACAAGTCCGGTGCCCTAACCACTCGACCACGCTGCCTTATTTCACCACAGAGTTAGAAATAAAAGCGAAAAGCTTTAAGAAGAACTCCTCAGTTGACCCATTCTAACTGGCTTGCAATGATTAGTAGCCTTTTTAGGCATTGAGAGATTACATGCCCTCCAAATTCAATCCCTCCCCCTTGTTTCACTGGGAGTTTCTCCACTGCACACCTGGTAAGTGCTTTAAAATCTAAGTCCGCGTAGGCGCAGTGCTATCTTATATAATCCCCTCGTGCGTGGTGATGGACAGAATTCAAATCAAACTTCAACTTATAGGCAAGTCTCATTTACTTTTCTAATTTCAAATATATAAAACTAATGGTTAATGATGTACGCTAGTAGATAACGCGTACAGTTGCGTTACATAAACGTTGCGTTATTCTAAAGAATTTTACTATAAGGTAGCGCGTCAACCCGACGCCGGAGAAATTTGAAAACGCATCTTTATTTTTTCTATGGTTAGGCCTTCCGTCCACACTAATCTGTCACAAAAACGTAGCTTTTCGAAAACGCTCTTCAAACTGGAGGAATTTTTAAACGCCTGCTTTTTGTTTTCGTGTGGAAGAAAAACTTTAATTTTTGAAAAAAAGGGGCTTTTCGAAAACCATTGCTTCACGATAATCATGTGATTTCCCTGAACGAGTTTCCTCAAACACAAATCCAATATGATCGGTGATTGTTTCGTTTTCAAATTCTTCCGGCGTAGTGTGAACGTAGAACATTCGATGCCTTCTCAGAGTGAAACCTGCGTTTTCAAGTTCCTTAGGCGTAGTGTGGACGGAAAACATTTGATGCGTTTTCAGAGTAAAACCTCCATTTTCAAGTTCCTAGTGTAGTGTGGACGGGGCCCGACATTATTCTCACGAACTATCACTTGTCGAATCGAAAGTTGAAAACTGTACTGCCTAGACTCGACATACCCAGTTCTTCGCAAATTCACAAGTTTATTCAAAATTCACAATGTTCGTCTACCCTCTCGCTCTGCACGTATATAAGCGCGAGCTGACGTACAGCACTCCCCCCGGGAGGCTCCCATACCTCGTACTTTTTAGGGGGGTTAAAAAGCAGTTTTGGTACCTCTTAAGGTGTTCAGCCTCAAAAGTTCCACAGCGAGAGCTTTTACGGTATCTTTTAGGGAATTGAGCCAAAAAAATATGACAGGAGGAGATAACGTGTTGTTTTGGAATTGGTACGTACGTCTTAGGGGTGAAACGAATTTCAAGCCACACCCACAAAACAAGACCTGGGTACCTCTTGGGGGTTCTTTTCAAAATTCCCGACAAGCATCCCTGTCCTTTTTATGTGGGAATACCTCNCCCCCCCCCGTAGCCCCTATAGCTTAGCGAAATTGGCCTACAACTATTTCTTAACATTCGCCTTAATCATAGCCTGAAATATCAGTTATCTCCCCGGGTTTAGGCTGAGGGCTAACATTTCAAGCTACTTTGATCACGGAATGTTACAGGGCACATAAACTTATTTGCTTTGTTGATAAGGGGAATCACGTTTACAGTCTGATGCTAGTTATCTGGTAATCATCGACTGTCTAGCAACAGGCACTTCTGATTTCTATAAACCACGCAACTTAAAACTACGATAAACTGTCACACCTTACGACTGGAGCTTTCTCGACAAGTGACTGAGTGAGTTTAGACAATCGATCAGTTTACTGACTTTACGGCTATGCTGTTGCCAGTTGCTAGTTTCTTGGACTTATTAATCAAAAAGTCTTCAGGGAGGGTGTTGCGGCTATTTCGTTTTCCCTTGTGTCTTGCTTCTTTTCTGTTCTGTATGTTAATGCAATTTCTCACATTCTGCATGCTTTTATTTCTAGCTTCGTATGTAAATCTCGTCCCGTATATATTCATGTTATCTTCCATTCTCATTCGAGTCAGTATATCGTCCGTTACCTTTGTAACATTTTTGGTTCCCTGAACCTCGTTTTCCAGCATTTGGTAAGCCGTTTTAGTTCATCGTCTTTTGTATTCCTGTTAGGGTTCTGCTCTCTTCGGTCATTTATTTTGTAGTAATTCATTTTGTGTTTATTTCTAGGAATTTACCTTCTTACTTAAGAAAGTTATAAAATTTGCTGGACCTAAGTGGAATTCATCTAAGTTGCATCAGAAGTCGGCCCTCTACCTCTTCAGGGGCTAGAAAAGGTAATTGTTCCCACATGCTTTTTTTTTTCGGGCGGTTACGGGCGGCAAAGGAAATTGGAGGGGTTTTCCGCACGGGCGGTTACGGGCGGCATAGGCGTAAATGGTTAATTTAAGTACATAAACAAGCCATCCCAGTCCATGTGGCATTTTTTTTTTTTACGAATATCTATACTAGCAAGGATAACAAATGAACACAAACCCTTTAGTCATCAATTCAAAAGTTTTTGTCAAAAGTAAACTACAAACACTAAACTGGAGAAAAATAATTCAGTTTTATTTTGGAAAAATGATCAACAAATGCAGAAGGAGAGCAAGGCTAGTAATTTATATTACAACAAGGTTATAGGCATCTGGATTGAGAAACAGTTTAATTTCCAAAAAATAGTACTTTTACACTCATTTGTTCAGAATCTTTAGAGATTGATAAACCTGAGGTGGGGCATCGATTAGATTTTGTTTGGAAAAATGGAAAAGTTGCCATTACAGACAGATATATAGTACCATATCTGAATAAATCTTAATGAAGTGCGGGGTTGCTGAATTAAAAAAAGAGGATAAAAAACATTTTCCAACATTAACTAGGCACCTTTCTCAAACAGCTCCTTAGCAATTTTAACAAATCATGAACTGCAAAGCTCTCTCTTGAAATTGAATGTGAAACAAGACAGGATTTGAGGGGAAGGTCCAGTAAATATCCAAGACCATTAATATAATTTGCTACATTCCAGTCGGGAAAACCAGTGCCATTCTTGACAAATCTTATTGAAGCACTCGTAAAGTCTGCAGCAGTTTTTTTTTTTTTCGAATAAAGGTAAGGTGTGGAAACTTGCAACAAAACATGTCCATGTAGACTTGG